CAGAGGTACCATTTGCACGGCCCGGCCCGGTTTTAAATTTTTTAGGCCCGGCCCGGATATTTTAAAAAAAAATTTTTTACGGCCCGGCCCGGATATTTAAAAAAATTTCAGGCCCGGCTCGAAATTTTTAAAATTATATTCGACCTGGTATATACAAAAATTCACCTATGAGGTATTTTACCATATTTTTCAGCGAGTATCATCGCTATTATTTAAAAAATACATGTAAAAAGCTAATATTTTGAGAATATTATATTGAATTTATAAAAATTATAAAACTGTTATTTATAAAAATGGATATTTTGAGCATATACTATATTTTATATTGCATTTATAAAAATGGAAAATATTTTGAGAATATAATATATTGTATTTAATTTACTATTTAATTTATAAAATAAAAATAAATCGCTATTTAAAAAATGCATGTATAATAAATAGTATTTTGAAAATATAATCTAATTGCACAATATTAATATAATTTATTTTATAATATAAATTTTTAACAAAAGAAGATAATTGTATTATATAATATTGTAAAAAAAAATAATGAAAAATGTTGGATTAAAAACTTTCATGACTCAAGGTAAATATAATAAATGCAATAAATATTTGACAGTTTGCAAAGTAAAAAACCAGCATGATTGACGAAACCCTATACTCAAGAAAGATATTAAAAATTCACAAATTATCATGAAGAAAGAGAAGCATATCTACCTTTTCAGGTTGAAGATAACTTCTTCTTTCTTCAAGAATTCTCCCAGTAGTGGAAAAATTCCGCTCACAGCTTGCACTTAAAGCAGGAATTGCCAATTTTGCTAAAATTGGAAATTCGCTTTGATGAGCCGCCCACCACTCTAACAAATTATCCACCTTAAATGTTTTATCTATTATTTATGTAATTATAATATTCATCATCGGGTATTGACATATTACCAGAATTACCATCGCCCCATTTGTCATAAAACGATTCAGTTTGTTTAACAACAGTCGTAATTTGACTGGTCGATGGTATTTCATTTACTTCCTGAGCCTCTTGTAATTTAATATAATCTTTTATATAGTTTTCCGTCATTTTGCGATCTGTCCCTGACTACATACGTAATTGCTTGAATTTGGGACAGAGAAAAAGATAAATAAAATGATACTTGTGTAAAACAAATTTTTCAATTAAAAAATGCTTTATATTAAGTAAAATCAATTTTATTTCTCCTTTTCGCTTTGAAAGGTATTACAAACTTTAAGAAGTGATATTCCTTTATTTGATTGTTTTGGTAAAATATATTCTAAAAATTTAGATATGAATTATAAAAAAATATATTAATACTTTGAATAAATTTGCAGGAAATTAATAATTAGATCGATCTGTGGGTTGTTAGGTAGTGTTAACCATCACCCAATATTATATTAATCATAACTATAATATAATATAATCTTATAACCATAAACTCATAATGTAAAAATTTTTATAAAAAATATTAAGGCCCGGCCCGGGTTTAACAATCTTAGGCCCAGCCCGGCCCGGATATATTAAAAAAAAAATTTTTAGGCCCGGCCCGGATATGTTTAAAAAAATTTTTTTTAGGCCCGGCCCAGGTATATTTAAAAATTTAAAATACGGCCCGGCCCTGCCCGGGGTTTAGGGCCGGGCCTGCAGGATTCTGATATAAGGTTTAAAATTTGATTTCCGAAATAAATAATGAAGATAAAGCTTAATTTGAGGCATCATTAGGAAGAGAAAAAAATTCTCTACCGTTGTACGTAAAAAATTTTTTTTTAAAAAAAATAAATTTTGAGTGTATTTTATTTTTGGCACCATATCTTTAACGGTCAATAGCTGGAAAACGGTGATGTTACAAATCGAGTTTGAAACGGTACAAATCAATCCCGTTTTAAAAATTTGAAAAATCTCAAATTTTGAATATTGGGGGGGGGGGGGCTAACTTCACGCTATAATATAAGGTTTAAAATTTGATTTCCAAAATAAATAATAAAGATAAAGCTTAATTTGAGGCATCATTAGGAAGAGAAAAAAATTCTCTACCGTTGTACGTTAAAAAACTTAAAAAAAAAATTTTGAGTGTTTTTTATTTTTGGCGCCATATTTTCAACGGTCAATAGCTGGAAAACGGTGATGGTACAAATCGAACTGAAAACGGTACAAATCATTCTCTATCGACCTATTCACTTTTTATTTTTAAGTTCAAAAGTTGGGGGGGGGGCTGTCGTGAAGTTGGCCCCCCATTTTATTCTTTGAATATCTCAAAAAGGTGATGGTACAAATCGAACTGAAACGGTACAAATCGGGTACTAATCACACCAACTGATAAACCATTGAAAATCAAAAATTGTGGGGCCAACTTCACGGACCTATTTTTTATTTAATAAAAAATTGATTTATGCATATTAAAAAAAATGTTTCTAAAAATTATTTTTAAAAAAATATTATATAATCAAATTTTGATTGATTATGATTATTTGCTTTTTAGCAATGCAGTAATAAGTCATTCATACCCATAACTGAGTTGGGCATTACCGCGAATACTTGTATCTAAGATATAAGATCTTTTTGTAACTTTTACTAAGTATCTTTTTGACATTTTTAATAAATTACTAGTATCTGTATCTAAGATCCTTTATTCTGAAAAGAATGTTGTATCTTTTTTATTTTCTTGACAAAAGTTACAGATACAGATTCCTTTTAATATGAAGGTTTAAAATTTTACATATCACAGTATATATCTTATTTTCTTCGAAAATCTTGTATTAATTTCCTTATTTTTTTTCACCATATTTTAAATATATTGACAACCAAAATTAGCTGGAAAATTTACAACTCATATTAAGGTAGATAGATAAAAAATAACAACACCAAAACGAAATAAGTAAAGATTATATTTTATATATATTATATTTTATATAAATGTAACTCGATAGATAATCATTACCAATTTTATGAAATATTTTTTAATTTGTAGGATGACAAACACTCAAGGTAGTGAAGAAGAAGGTAGTGAAATTTAAATTATGTAAGTGAATAAAATCCAAATCTTAAAATATGGAAATTTTTTAAAAATAAAAGTTAAAAGATAATGTACAGTCTAGATGTAAAACCTGTAAATCAAAAAAATAATAAAGGGTTAATCACAAATTTTGTTAAACATATTCAAGTATATTATTTATATGTTGTTAAAAGGTACTAGGTTATCTTAAAAATTTAAGTTTACAATATTGACTACCTTTATTAATGCCTAAGATGGTATGGGAAAAAGATTTTGAGAAAATATGTTCCGATATAAATATAATGAAGTTTTTTTGGCATTTAAGAACTTATGGATTGAGTCGAATGATAAAACAAATACTTATATTATTAAAAGTAGCTCTAACTATATTATCAGAGAATAGTTCAAACTGATAACATCAGTAGATCTAACATCTAATAAAGAAAATGATTATTTTTCTTTTAGTGAAACAATTGTTGCTTAGTTCAATAATACAAATAACATTAAACTAGAGGTTTTAAATTATATTAAAGAAAGTCGAAATACATTATAAATGCTTAATTATTATCCTTCCATTAAGGAAATGTTTTTAAAATACTGCAATACCTTCATCAGCTCCAATTGAAAGGTTATTTAGTTTTGGCGAAATGTTAAATACACTGAAACGGCAAAGGTCTAATGATAAATTATTTGAAAAATTTGATTAACATAAAATAATGAATCTATTTTAAATACTCTTTTGCATATTAATATTCCAACTTTCATTAAAAATACATGTTTCCCTTCCCTATCTATGCGAAGAATGGGTTAATACTAATATTAAAATGCCAGATTGTTATAATTAACTTATCTAAATATTTTATTAATTATAGAAAATATTCATATTTATTATATATGTATGTTATGGTCTTCACAAATAAATAATAAAAACTGTATTTTATAAACTATTCTAATTTAATTGGTAATGATAATTTAGAAGTATCTTATATTTAAGATACTCGAATTAAGGAAAAGATACAATTATCTTTTTGTTATTTTGAAAAAAATACTAGTATCTGTATCTAAGAATCATTTTCTTTACAAAGAATCGGTATCTAGATTCCTTTTCCGGAGGACCTGTCAACTCTGACCAATGAATGATAAAACAAGAACTAAATTGTATCGTGAGGTTATATCCGATTAATCGTGATATTTTTTCATTATTTAAATAAATTTATATATCTAGTTTTAGCATTCTACTTATTTTTAATGCTATCCATTTTGTCGGGCCGAACAATATGCCCTTTTATATCTGTTGAATATTTTGTATAACTCACAGAAAAATATACATTGTGCATTATTTTTATCATTTAAATAAATTTATATATCTATTCTTAAGCATTCTATTTTTAAAGCTTGACATTTTTTCGAATAATACTCAATTATCCCTGCTGATTATTTTGTATAACTCACAAAAACATATACATAGTACATTATTTTTATTATTTAAATGATATTATATAGGATTTTATATCTATTCCAAAATGACGATATATATTACAATATTTATCACTATCAAAGCTCTCTTTACCACAAGGTTTTAAATAAAATTTATCTTCTGGCTATAGTTTTTACATCATGTTACTTAGGAAAATCGACTTGATTTTATTACACAATATTTGACATTTCCTATTCTCACATTTACTTCTTTTGTCAAATTGACATCTTTTTTTAAAAAAAAACTCTTCAACAAATTTTTATCGATCGATTGGAAGTGAAGCCCTTCTCTTTAAAAAAAATAACTTTAAAAATATTCATAACATCGGAATTAGGTTATAAAATTAATCAGTCCATACATTTTACAATATTTTCTTTAGTAATATATATATTGATATTTTATTTCTTTTACAATGATTTCAATTGAAATATAAATTTATAATAATTTTACTATTAATCGATATAAATGACTATATATATTTTTATATAATCAACAAAATAATACTAAATGAGAATGCCTAAAGTAGGGTATGATTATTACCTTTAAACATCGTAAAAAAACGGAAATATTGCAGAGATTTTAAAAGAAAAATCGTACATATATATGATAATAAAGAAGTTTGGTAGATGTATTTGAAATTTTAAAAAAATAAAGCGGTATAAGTTTTTTTAATTGATCTGTCAAACATTTAAGTTCATTGGATTAGGAGTGTTCTTAGAGTCATTCGCAAGGAATCCAGAACTGAAAAGGAATAATAATGATTTCAAAGAGCTGGGCAAATCAATATAAAATCACGTCTCACAGTTACAAGCTCATGGAAAGAGAGTGGAAGATCATGGATGACAAGATCAAAAATAATACTGATGAGGGTAGAATAAAAATGGTAAATATTCTAATTATTTAGCTTAAGCTTTGGTATCGATAATCGTAAAATGCAATATTTGAAGATATGAGTACAATAATTCGATAATTAAGCGACCATTAGTCTAAAATAAGATATGCATCGATAGCCCATTTTTATTGGTATGGGTTAAAATTCAAAGTTTTGGCTAATACCGATACAAAAGTAGATCTGCCTAAAATCAATAACATGGAGCATTAGTAAAATACTATATTATTTTAAATATTATTAAGTTTACAAAATGAAGCTTGATTTATTACATTAAAAATTAAATATATATATTTTTTATAAATCAACATAAATAATGCTAATAAGTGATTTATATGGTCGTTAGTGATGGTTCAAACATTTCAAATAAATACGAAGCCTTAGGACATCTCCTAAGAGCAATATCTTTAGCACTATCGCCCATAGGGGTACGGATATTAATATTAATGAATGGGTGAAACAATAATATTTCCAGAGTCTGTCTTGAGGCGCTATTTTGGCAAGCAAGGTGTAATGGCGTTAAACCACCTTTAGTTAAAGAATTTACCATACATTGATCGTACAAATGAACAAATGTAGATGGGTCTATATGGTTTTCAAATATATGATCAATAGTAACTTCATCGATATTTGATAAAAGGGAATTGGAATTTTTGCCAGTCATAATTTTTTGGGACATCGATTCAGGGACATTATAATTTGCAGTGTTTTTATCAATCTTTAATGATTTAAGTTTGTTATTCAATATGGTATTAATATCACCGCTAGTATATACACGATTGGAGTTGGTTTCCGATATAATAGGGGTTGATGATAAAGTTTTTATTATTTTGATCTCATTGGTTTCAATTTGGTTCTGGTGATGTTCATTATTATTAGTATTTTTATCTTCCAAATTTATGGGACAACTAGAATATATTTGAACTGGTTTAAAAACGTCATTCAATTTGTCGACGTTAGGGCTATGGTTTAATAAGGCGTTCAAACATTCGTAATTTGACCAAAAACTAGCACAGTGTATCGGCTCCCAGCCTTCTTTAGTTTTAGCTCGAATATTGGCACCCTTTTCAAGTAAATACTGTTTATTTTTTTTAAACGTAAATATTATATTTAAAAACAAAGATATCTTAAAATTACTTATTATAGTAAAATTATAATTTAAAAAAAATAATTTGATGGATTAAATAATTGAATTTATGCCTTTATTTAAATATTTAATAATTATTTTTTATATAACTGCATTGAAAAATGGAAAACCCTTGCAATTATTTATTCATATAAACAACCTCTAATTAAGTATCTGACCAGTCAAATTGACTGATTTCCAACCATGATTGTCAATTTGATAGTCTAGGCAATAAAAAGTATATTAAATAGACAGATTATATATATAATGTGTTTGTTCCAATCTAATATTATCCCATAGCGAAAATATAAGGATTTAAAAATAATTAATTCAACTAAATTAATACCTTGAAACGTTTAAATTTGATTATTTATATTATTTCAACTTTTATGGACAGTATAAAAACACTGATTTGATGTTCCTCAAGAAAACAAAAATCTCAAAGTAGCTAAATTAGGAAAAATTAATTAATGATTTAAAAACTTTAACTATTCTTTTGTGTCCATTGTAGCATGCTCTGTGCAGAGGAGTATAACCGTCTTCGTCAATTGTCGAATTTAATATTCCGCATAAATCGGGATCATCTAAAATTTCTTCTAAAACATCCAATCTATCATTTTGTGAGGCCCAAAATATACGTTTCTGTAATTCAAATAATAAGAATATTTTTTTAAATAAACTTCAAGTCAATTGCCAAATCAGATAAAATATAAATTTATAGGGGTGTACCGATACCACTTTTTGGAGGCCGATCCGATATCATATCTAATTTTGTACTCTGTAAAGATACCAATGGTTTTAATTTTTAATATAATTTTTATTAATATGGCATCTATAATCTAACTATACCATAACTTATGTCATTTAAATATATTATAATGATCAATTATAGTTTATATTGAATTCAATTCTAAAAGTATATAAAATATTTTTATTGTAAAATTACTTTTATATAATAAGTAACAACATTAATCTATATACATAATAAGTAATAAACAAATATACTATGGAATTTGAAATAAATATTTAAAATAATATTTAACATTAATATATCAAAGATTTCTTTTTAGAAATTCCAAAATTTCCAATTTATCAGAGGTCATCCTGCGACGATGGCAACTGTCAATATCACCAGCTTCACTAAAAACAGATTCGAAAGAGACTATGGCACACTTTGATAAAGAGAATGCGCAAAAAAATAACAATATGGCAGAATGTTTATAAATTAATTATTATTATTAAAAAAATAAACATAAACATAAAAATGGATTTCGATTTTATTTATAAAAATAAATGATTTTAGATAATTTTATTTTTGTTAAAAACACCATTTTTTATCAGATCGGAAAATTTTATAATATTGGCTGATAACCCGTATTTCAAAATGGGTAAAATATTGGCCTGATCCAATCCGATAAAAAATATCGGTACATCCCTATAAATGTATGTATATTATATAAAATTTGTGTCAATTTAAATGCATGAATAATAGGTATGAAGTAAAATCTCACTGATTATTCATAAAGTATGAATCAAATAACAAATAATTTGCTTTATGTATAAATGTAGGAAATAAAAATTTAATCTTATAATTTTTTTTACATTTTTACAGATCATCATCAAAATAAGGTATATTATGCCTAGTTTCCTACAATAGAAAATATATTCTACCAAAAATAAAAAATATTAGCATTATTCAATTAATTTGGTTGCTTAAGTTTTAGGTTGATTTACTTGAAGATCTTCAGTTGTGGTTGGAAGAACTCAACTAATTAATAACACTACATATAATTATAAGACTACATATAATTATAAGAAGTTATGAATTATAGAATATTTTTAGTATTTATAATAAATTTCTGGATATAAAAAAATAATTATAATAACAGCAAACTTAAAAAAGTGAGAGAAGATTATTTTTTGCCAATCTACAATCCATTTATAATATGGGTCTGCCAGCAGCTCTGACTTCTATACCCTTATGAGTCCTTCAAACAAAATATCACTTTACTCTAAAAAAATATATTAATGAAAAAGAAAGAGCAACATTTGTAAAAACTTATCTCTTTCTTTATTAACATATTCAAGAATAATATAGGCATCTTTATTGAACAAAGTATAACTTATATAATTATATAATATTTCAATTAAATATGCAAATAAAAAATTAATTTAAATTTTCTAAAATGATAGTTTTATCTAGTATACAAATATCAAAATATGTAATTTAATTTAAAAAATTGATATATTTGAAATGGTATAAACTTAAAAAATAAATATTTAAAGAGGAATGAAATGGTTATGTGAAATTCAAATGGTTTTCTTTAATAAATAACTAAATTAATCATTTAGAAAAATTAGGGGAAGGTGCAAATATGTCTTAATATCATCAGTATATCTAATAGTCTAAGTAGACAAAATTGTTAAATTATTTTTTCTTAAAGAACCTTAAAAGATCTTAATACTTTTCAGTCAAATTATTAAGTTTATTTTAAAGGTTGTGGGAATGGTTATTATATATATAGGATTGCCAAAATATAGAAAAAAAGAAAAATTATAAGATAAGATACCAGTCTGAAGTATTATCAACATTAGAAGTGAAATAATGTATTCTGTATTATAATTCTATAAAATAAACTTACAATTCATTGAGTCTGACAAGTCATATCATTATTTAATCCTTAGCTCTAAATGTATAATATTGCACATGTTTGTGTAGCAATTTTGATTGCCAAAAGAAATTTTGTCATCAAAGTTTTATTTTATTGCAACTAGTTCAAAATTAATTCCTGCCCAGATATGTGAATCCTTACTTCATTACTAGAGCAAATGATTATATTTTAATTTATTTGTATATTTTTTATGATGGTAAAACTATTGGGGATGAGGTAAAATAAATATGAATAATTAACCATATTTTACTAATTTCATATTTATACATTAGTTTAACATATATACTAATTTGACAGGTATAACATAATAACCCCTTATCATTTACATGTGATTATTAAAGTAAATATCTTATATGTATTTAATATTACAGATTAAATTTGTTTATTTGATAATATTAATACTTTAATGGCTTGTAAATCGCTAGGATTAAAAATAGGTTCATCCTCTACTTCATCTAAAAAGTCATCTTCAATGGGACTAAAATCAGAGAGCCCCATATGAGTAAGATTATGATTATTAGATTTTGAACTAGCCATATCTTTCAAATTTATCGCAAAAAAATTAAAATTAAACTATTACAGATTTACCAAAATTCGAAATAGTGAGTCAACTACAGCCGTTATTGATGTGTATAAATGCCATTATAATAAAAATTGATTACAATTAATGATAAAATATAACCCTGCATATTATTTTTCATGGACGTAATTTTTGATTGATTCTCCAAATTATTCAAAATTATAAGCTATAAATTTATAAAAATAAAATTAGGAGATTTGATGATTGGCATCGAAAATTTTTTATATCTACAAAATAATACCACGTGATTACCTTAAGGGATTTCGTTTTCATAATATCATATGATTTTATGAAAGGTTAGTGAAGGATTTTCTACCTTTTCAAATGCTAGCAATAAAGAAAATATGAATGATGAATATTGGTTAATATCAGCACCTGGTGAAAAAACATGTCAGCATACATGGGAGAAATTAAATAAAGCATTGCCTCCTAATAATTTAACTGAAAATAATAAATTTCACATTCCAGATCTTAAAGTAATTAGTTATTAACTACTTATTTTGATATATATCTATATATATATAGGTGGGAACATTAGACCTTTTAGTAGGTCTCTCAGATGATCTTTTAAAATCTGATACATATATTGAAAGGTACTTTATTTTGTTTTGTAATTTATATTTATGATCAGTGTAACAAAAAAAATTGCTCAATATATGGTTGAAATATATGAAGGAAATAAAAATAAGATATCTGAAGCTTTATTAATAAATGGAAGTTTAATAACAAATTCTTGTTTATTTTTTAAACACAAATTTTAGCTGATTTTAATACATATTTATCTCATTTTCAATGGGATACAGCAAAATTTCCTATAAAATTATCACTTGTATCTCTTACTGACATTATAAATAAAGTATAATGATATATATTAACATTATCATATTTGTAATTAGAAAGTTTCACAAATTGATTCAGAATTTAAACTAAGATCTACTCAATATAATTCTTTAAAAAAGGACCTTCAAAATATTGAAAGGAAAAACACGTAATTTAAAATGATAATTTCAAAAGATGAAAAAACAAATTTTTTGTTCAATTGAAAAGAATTTTTTTGAAATAAATTTTTTATATTTATTGGGTCATTCATTCCATGTCAAATCAACCAAAAAAAAACAAAATTTTTAGACATCTATCTCTAAAATGAACAAAATTTTGCATGATAGTAATCTATGCTGTATATTTTAGTAAAATAAAATTTAATGCCCTAGCTAAATCAGATACAGAGATATACATCTTCAAAGTCAAAAAATGCCCAATCTGTGATTTCATTAAATCATTTTGTAATTCTTAAAATTCTACATCAGAAAATATCAAAAATAAATTTAAATTCCAAGTGTTCTTATTTCCAGTAAAAATATATCAACATTGTTGAGAAGAGATTATTTTGGGGTGTTGATATTTGCAAGGAAAGTTTTATTACCTTCATATTTAACTGTTTAATCAAAAAAATTGATAGCCATTTTTGTTTTTGTTTTTTTATATTTTTATTATATTTGTATAAAAAATATATAGTGAATTGTTATTAAAATACAAAAAAATCCATTGAGTATAACCAATATGATGTACTGACTATGTGCAAGCAGGCAGCCCATATGGATATGATTATTATTAGGGTGCTATATTGTAACGTATTTTGAAATTTTTTATACATACTATTATAAAAAAATATCTCTTATCTTTAGCATATTTATTTTGCGCTTATTAATAGAATTTTTGTCTACTATCGTTAATATTTGATGTTATTTGAGTGCCAAAAGAAGAATGTGATGGTCCATGTGGAATTGGGAAAATAAGTGATTTCATTCTTTTTTAGTTTAGTGACTAACCACCATAATTTATATAAACAGGGTTGTGTATTTGACCGGTCAAATACGTTTCGGTCAATTGACCGATATCTGATAGGTCAAAAATGGTCAAATTCAAATATATGTTTTAATAAAGTCAATATTAACTTTATTTTGAATATAATAGAAAATGAATCTATAATATTAATTTTTTTAAATTCATTGTCATTCAATAACTAACGTTTAGCTCTCTGTAGCAGAGTCTTGTTTTGATTCATATTCAATATTATCATTTTCTTTAGTATTTTTTAGGGATGTACCGATATTTTTTATCGGATCGGGCCGATATTTCACCTATTATAAAATATCGGTTATCGGCCAATATTATAAAATTTGCCGATCCGATATAAAATGGCGTCCTTAACAAAAATAAAATGTTATAAATTTTTTTAAAAAGTTATATCTAAAATCATTTATTTTTATAAATAAAATCGAAATCCATTTTTATGTTTATTTTTTAATAATAATAATTAATTAATAAACAATTTGCCATATTGTTATTTTTTTTGTGCATTCTGTTTATAAAAGTGTGCGATAATCACTTCTGAATCTGTTTTTAGTAAAGCTGGTGATATTAACAGTTCTCATCGCCGCAGGCTGACCTCTGATAAATTGGAAATTTTGGTATTTCTAAAAATAAATCTTCGATATATTAATGTTAAATATTATTTTAAATATTTATTTAAATTTCATAATATATTTGTTTATTATTTATAATGTATATAGATTAATGTTGTTACTTATTATATAAAAGTGATTTATAATAAAAATATTTTTTATACTTTTAGGCAATTGAATTGAATATAAACTATAACTGATCATTATAATATATTTAAATGACATAAGTTATGGTATAATTAAATTATAGATGTTATACTAATAAAAAGTATATTACAAATTAAAACCATTGGTATCTTTACAGAATACAAAATTAGATATGATATCGGATCGGTTATCGGCCGATATCAATTTAATATCTGGAATATCGAATCGGCCTCCAAAAAGTAGTATCGCTAGTATTTTTTAATCCATCTTCCTTATGTCGAACTTCAATCAATTTCTATTTTCATAAGAATATTAGCCTAAATCGACCTATCTAAAGAAGAAGTAGAACTAGGAATTGTTAGTCTCTTAATGGGCATGGTGGGCAAAGTTTAATCCATACATGAGGTCAGAATTGATTGTTTCTTATGGAAATGACTGCTTTCCATTTTTGCTTCTGAAATTATTTATATCACTTATAATATTTTGGTCACCACCTTGTAAAATGGCTAATTCTTGAATTATATCCATACTTCATTGAATTTACTACTAGTGAGTTGTTCCTCTTGATATTGGAGACCCAAAAAATATAAGTAACATTGTGATCACATGTATTAATATCGTTTTTTCTACTTTTAAAAATATTTTTAATTTTTTTTAAATATTTTTTTAGAGTATTTGACCGGCCAATTGAGCGACTTGTCAACCCTGGTTATAAATACATCCGAGACCTGCAGAGGTACCATTTGTACGGCTCGGCCCGGATTTTTTTAAAATATATTTTATTTATTTTTGATTTTTATAGCTAATACTGGCGATTTCAAATATTTGGTTTTAAAATATACGGCCCGGTACGAGTACCTGGACCAGGCCGGGCCTGCAAGTCTCTGAAATACATATTTAGAAAAAACACCAGTTCAAACTGGGTCTTAAATAAAAGACCAATATGACATTTTTGATGGTTAGCTTTGGAATGAAATTACTGAAGGATATATATTTTTTTTTTACATTTCCATGGACCTGGACCAACACATCCTTCTATTACCCCACAAGTGCATTCAAATAATAATGATAGTATGGCCTTGGGAAATTCAATTAATAAGTGCTATATGGAATACGATAAAGATAAGAGATATTTTTTTATAATAATATTTATATAAAATTTTAAAATGTTTATTTTATATTTAGTGTCCTAGTAATAATCCTATCTATATGTGCTGCCTGCTTACATATCGCCCCAGGATAACATATAAGTTATTATCGATTAATTTTTTTAAATACCAATGTAATATTTTTTTGAAGGTGTATATTTTTGGAACTGGTTTAGCAAGGGCTATACTTTGATCCTATCAAAATTTAAAACACGAATAACTAAAATGCCAAGTTTCATTCATATTTGAGATAGTCGCCAAACTATGGTTTATTTGTGATGGAATGACCCTATTATCAATTGTCTATGTTTTATCTGAGAATATTTGATATTAATTTGAATGTAGGGTTGTCTTCTTGTTATTACATAGAAATTGTAGTCATCCTTCATATCAATTAAATTCCTATTTAATAAATTATATTTAATTAAATCATTTTATTTAATATAAAATTTTATTAACTATTTTAGAGGAAGTTTGGCCACCCGTAATTTGAATGATATAGTCAGTAAGGATCAATTTGTTCTAGGATCTGAATACATTATTACACTCGTAGTTGTAGTGCCAAAGTATATTAAAAAATAATATATTTTATAATTGTTAATACTTATTTTAAGCTTCATTAGTTTGAACTCCTTTTAAATGATAATTTGTTCTCACATTAAAGGTCCAAAGTCTAGCCTGTTTTGAAATTTAATATTGTTACAAAAGATGTATATATTTAATCATTTCTCATCTAGAGTTTTGTCATTTAAAAAAAATCATTTCAGATGACAATTTTATTAATTTTCATTTATAACTTCGTCAACTTTTGGTGAAAACATATAAAAATAGATATCAACAGTTTGGTTAAAATATTAGGTTTCAATTAGGCACACAAAAATTGAAAATATCAATGGTTAGTTTTATAGTTTACATTTACGAGAATGCCAAGATGTTTTAAAAGTTCCCTTGAATGAAGATTATGACAATTGTCAACCTCTAAATGCGTCACACCGTATTCTTTGCCAATAAATTTTGATATTTTTAAATATACTAAAAAATATATTATTTAAATTCGTTATTTTTTTAAAAAAAGTATGCTAATATATAAATTTTTAGTACTTTATTTACTTTAAAAATAAACAAAAACATAAAAATGAATGTGTAACAAATGATGCCATGTTTTCTTTTCGGGTTATGTATTCAGAAGATATAATAAAATTTATTTCTTAGAAAGATAATGGAAAAGTAATTGAAATAATTTTTATAAAAAAATAAATATCAGTCCATACAAAAAAATTTTCAAAATGCTATTTAACAATATCTTTATATTAATTTTTTTTAAAATTTGAATATTAAAATTAATAAAATGTGAATTATATTGGTATATAATAGTACTTATTGCAATCCACCAAGTCAAATTAATATCTTCTTCTCCGTTTTATGGCGATTTACAGGTTTACCCGGGTAGGCCAGTTTTCCCTCTGATTTTTCTTTTCCATTTTTGACGGTCCTGAGCATCAATACTTGTAAGATTCAAGCTTCTCATATCCGCCGCTATCACATTTGTCCACGTCATCTTGGGTCTTCCTCTAGGTCTTGATCCTCCTACTTCCATCATTGTGCATCTCTTTACCCAGTCATCTCTTGTCATACGTTCCACATGCCCAAACCATCTTAGTCTATTTCGTCGCATTACCATACCAATCATTTCTATACCTAATCTTGCTCGCAATTCCTTGCTAGTTTTTCTCTCTCTCAGAGATACCCCACACATCCATCTAACCATCCTCATCTCTGTTCTTTCTAATTTGGCTTCGTGAATTGCTTTCATTGCCCATGTTTCACCGCCATAAACTAAACAACTCCTCACGCAGCTTACGTAAACTTTCCCCTTTAACTTCAGAGAAACTTTTTTATTTGTAAGAATAGATGACATCTCTCTGAACTTCTTCCAAGCTTGTCTGATCCTTGCAACAACAGCAGAATCTACACCACCATCTGCGTTTAGCATATCACCTAAATAACAAAACTTATCCACTTTTTCTAGGGTTAACCCATTGCCAATATCCAGACCACCATTTTTTAGGTTATCATTATTATGTATCCCTTTCATGCATGTTTTACAAATAAAGGTCATTCTTTCTAACATCAAACTGCCTTTTTTCCCACTACATCTTTTATGTACCCATTTCTGGCATCTGGTGCATTGGATAGAATTTCTAGCAACTCCTTTCCCACATACACCACAAGGCCACTTACCTGATTCTTCTATCTTTAGATTTTCCCCACCAATCATCACCTTTGTTTTTGATGCATTCATTTTCAGGCCCTTTGCTTCCATAGTCATCTTCCATTTACTAACTTTATCCCTCAATTCTCCCTCACTGTTTGCCATTAATACAAGGTCATCTGCATATAATATCTCCCAGGGAAGTCCTTCACGCATTTCTCTAGCCACCACATCCATTACTAAGATAAATAATAATGGACTCAGCACGGATCCTTGATGAAGTCCTACCTTCACCTCAAAGCTGTCACTATCACCATGATCCGTCCGTACTGCTGTTTGTGCTCCAACATACATTGCCATCACTGCGGTAACTAACCATTCCTCCACACCGGATTTTCTCAAGGCCCATTTTGTAATCTCACGCGGCACCCTATCAAATGCTTTCTCCAAATCAACAAACGCATAATAGAGTTTCTTTTCCTTCGCAAGATACTTCTCCTGAATTTGTCTCACCACAAAAATTGCATCTGTCGTGCCTTTTCCCGATGTAAAACCAAACTGCATTTCATCAATTTTGATTTGTTCCCTTATCCGCTTTTCTAACACTCTCTCAAATACTTTCATTGCATGTTCCAAGAGTTTAATAGCTCTGTAAGACCCACAATCTAAAGGATCACCTTTCCCCTTGTATACTGGGATAATTATACTTCTTCGCCAGTCCTCGGGAATAGTACCTTCTGTGACAATCTGATTTGCTAAATTCATTAACCATTCAATCCCTAAATCATCAGAACCTTTAAACATCTCTGATACCACCATCGTTAAACCCGATGCCTTCCCTTTCTTCATCTTTTTCACTGCTCTCCTTATCTCGTCCTTGCCAAATTTACACCCTGGACCTTCTACCTTTGCACAACTAATATTATTATTCCATTCATTTTCTTCATTCAAAAGTCCTTTCATGTAAATCTTCCAGGTGTTCTTAATACCACTACTATCAATCGTCATTTTTCCTTCCATATTTTTCAAACACTTTACACCTATCACATCCTGCCTCTTTTTTGACATCTGTTTTGCCATTCTAACCATATTTCCAATTCCATCAGCGCATTTCATTTCTTTAGCAAACTCGTGTCTTTTTTCTTCTTGAGCCTTCGCTATTAATTTCTTAGCATTTCTTTTAGCCATCTTGTAAATAACATTATCACTATTTTCTTTGCTATTATACCATACTTTGAAACACCTCCGTTTCTCATCCAAGGCTTTCGCTACCTCTGGGCTCCACCACCAAGTCTCCTTATGTCTAGGCGGCCCTTTTGTCCATCCACATACCTCCTCAGTTGTCATTACCCAAGCTTTCTTCATGGCTTCCCACTTGTCATTCACCCCAGATGCTTGTGCCACCTCCGCCTCCCTAATCGCCAATGCCATATTGAATTGACGTCTAGCATTCTCCTCCTTCAATTTCCAAACCTTCAGCCTTGGGACAAACTTTCTTTTAGTGACCCTGGCACCTTTAAGAGTGAGATCTCCTACAACTAGTCGATGCTGATTTATACATTCCTCTCCCGGTATCACTTTCACATTTTTTATTATACATCGATCACATCTCCTTAATAACAAGTAATCCACAACACTTTTGGTACTACCCGACTTATAAGTCACCAGCTTCTCTGATTCTTTCTTAAACATTGTATTACAAACAATCATATCCATAGCATCACTAAATTCTAAAATCCTCTCTCCTTCCAAATTTCTCATGCCATAACTGAACCCTCCATGTACTCCTTCATAACCCTCACTACTCGCTCCCACATGTCCATTCAGATCGCCAGCCAGGATAATCCCCTCTTCATTTGCCAGTCTCGATGTCACCCCCAATAGACTGTCCCAAAATACATCTTTCTCTTCTTCACTTCTTCCAACCTGAGGAACATATGCCGAGATCATATTATATAGCTTTCTACCAATAATCATCTTGATAACCATTATCTGGTTGTCTAGCCTTCTCACTTCGACTACTTTGTCTACCAATTTCTCCGCAACCAATACCCCAACTCCAGCCTTACCATCATTACCTCCTTGCCAAAAGAATTTATACTTTTCGCTAGTCTTGCCAATCATTCTGGTCTCATTTCCTTTCCATCTAGTCTCCTGTATGCAGCACACATCTATATGTCTTCTGTGCAATACATCGACGACTTCTCCCGCTCTTCCCGTCATACTCCCAACATTCCATGTCGCGACCCTAACTCGATCACCCGTAAACTGGTTTCTCCACTTTTTATTAGGTCGTTTATGGCCGTCATAGGTTTCATTTTCATGAATAGTGGTTCCACCAGGTTTCCCATCCTTCTTTTTGTCGTAGGCGGATGAGGAGGCCCACGGGGTACTTTGGGCTGTACCCCGCCCATGCTTTGTTGTAACCATAGGGAAATTTTTGTAGCATGGTTTTTACAATCGGATGCCCTTCCTGACATCAACCTCTTTAAGTGGTTTTTACACCCCGTCGAGGAGACGGTGATCCTATTCTAGACCCAGATCACAGGGAACCTTTTAGACCTCCATTTGCCGCCAAAAGACGTTGCCACTCCCCCGCCACGATGAGGCTGAAGGTAGGATTTTGGGAGAGACCAAGTCAAATTAATATGAAAACCTTAAAATCAAAATGACCTATCCATTGGCGCAGCATATTAAATGTTAGAAGGTATCCGTGGTTTGAACAAAAGTCATATAAATAATAGGCTAAACAAAATAGGGAAACAATCTTTATGACTTTTTAATAATAAATGGGATCTAGTTGACGAACTATTCGCATTTACTAAATCAATTCAGAGAGTGTATAATTTTTTTCCTCCCAAAAGGGATCAACAATTGATTTAGGTTTATCATTGAATAGAAATAAATATACATTTAATTAACCTGATAGCTCAGATATCATTTTTCTGAAAAGCAAAAAAATGTTTAGGTTTTAAATTACAGAACTATAATTAATTTATTTTATATAAATTTTAGATTACTTGATCCGAGATTTCAATATCTTAAAATCGTTTTAGAATATTTAAATTCGAATTCTACCACATCATTGCAATTTTTAATTAAACATTTAAAACTTATAGCGCATCATAGAAATTTAGAGAATGAGATTCAAGGTAAGGATAATGGGCTAACATTCAATTCATATATAGCTAAAATAGAAACCAATTACTTTCAAACAACGACTATAATAACACTAGCAATCTAGCGCAAGAATGCCACATTTAGATGCAATAATATTTGGAGGGGGGGGGGTGACTGATACTTCCTAGACTTGCTTGTTTGCATTTCAAATTTATATATAAATTTGTTTAAATT